TCTGGCCTCATATACTTACTGGGCTCTATGAACCTGGGCAAATCACTTAACTTCTCTTTGCCTTAGTTTCCTCAACTATTAAATGAAGATAATTATAACACCCACCTCGAAGGGCTGTAAGGATTAAATGAGATAATATTTGTAAAGAGCACTTAGCAAAGTGGCTGGTATGTAGTAGGGGCCATATAAATGCTTATTCTCTCCTTTTCTCTACCATGGCTGCCAACTTCTGTAAGATCTTAGATTTATCACTTCTGCACCCCAGGCCTCATTTTCCTCATCTAAAATAAAGGGTCTCTTGCCTCTAATATTCTGTATGATAATGATAACACTAGCGGTGAGGGATGAGGGCAGGGAGGTTAGGAATGTTAGCTAGATTAGGAATGTAGGAGGGAATACTTGACAAGACAAACATGTCTGACACTGACCATGAGTACGAGAGGGGGGAGATCATTGGGGGAAGGGTTCTTCCGGCCCCTCCCTTGCCATCCCTTCTCTAAGATACCACACCCCACTCACCTCTGTCTGGGGAATTTGTCAATAAGGGCAGGTGTAAGTGCATGGAGAGGCCTAATTTACAATGTGGAGCGGCCTAGAGCTTCGAGTGGTCAAGTTTCAGATTCCCTCTCTACTCTATCCCTAAATTAACCACAGTGACCAGAATTAGGAGTTAGTCACTTCTTTCACCTTCTGAAAGGTCTGGAATGCCCTCAATAGGCTTTGACACCATGTCCTTTAACCACGACTAACACAGAACCGTAGAATCAATCCCAGACTGTGAGAGTCAGAAGGGACCCGAGAATGTAGAATTTCGGAGCAGGATGGGATTTTACAACACAGAATATTCACGCTAGAAGAGAGACCTCAGAGAGCATTGTAGCTCAGCTCCAGGAAGCAGCTAAAGGTTGTGTGGATAGAGTGCCAGACTTAAAAACAATAGCAATTACCATTGTGAGGATCAAAAGAGATGCTGTGTGTAAAGTGCTCTGCAAACCTTAAAAGTGCCCTGTGAATCAATGAGCTCGATTTTACGGAGGAAGAAACTGAGGTCTGAGGAGAGGAAGTGATTCTTGCTCAGGGATACATTGTGCAGAGAGAAGGCTGGGAAACAAGAACAGAGAGTGGTATTTGTGAGGCTGATGGGCAAGTCTCATCATTCCCCTAGCTGTGCTCATTATCCATCCATCATGAATCTTCAAATGGCTAAGCTCAAAGCTTAGCTCAAAGTTTGAATGGAAAACCATGACAGAAAGCCACTTCCCAGCCAAAAGAGGATTCTTGGTACAAGGGAGTGTGGATGACCCCAGAATTCCAGCCCTGGGTCCTCTTCTCTGGATGGAGCCCCAGTCACCTGAAAAGGTAAGGATGATAATCTCTGAAGCCCCTTTGTTGGGGGAGGTGTCCTCAAAGCAGACTGGGAACAGAGTTCTGAGGCCATATTTGCTGAGTTTCTAGGACTGCCCTCCCAGGAACATCCACAAGGCCCCATTCACTCAGCCCTACATTCATCCAACCCAGGGCTTTGTCTCTTTAAGGACCTATGGGATGCTCTAAAGGTGCCCAGGAGACCTCAGAGGTTAGAACCTTCTATACTTTTCATATCCAGTCCTGTACTATAACGTGAGGGAAGACCTGAATTGAAATCCTGCCTCAGCTACCCATTAACTTCATAACCTTGAGCAAGTCATACAAGCTTCTTCCAGTCTTCAGTTTCCTCATCAGTACAGTGAGGATAACAGCACCTACCTCACACAGCTATTGTGAAGGGCAGATGAGACAATGTAAGTAAACCACTTTGCAGACCTTCAAGCGCTATACAAATGCTAGCTGTTATTACCAATGTATCCTAAAGCCCTTGAGGGCTGCGATCATGCCACCTTCCCCTCTGTATCACACATAGTACCAAGTAAAGGGGCCTTGAATATAGTAATAAGTATTCAGTCCTGTAGAAGTTTGGATTTGTGTTTCATTTCCTCGTATTAGGCCTACAGGGTTTCATCAGGACAGGAAAAAACTCCAAGTGAGGGGGGCTGTAGCCATTAGGGTGCCCTGTGCCCGGAGCACTCCACTGAGATGTTAAGTTACTTGCCTAGTATTTCAGCAACAGGATTTGAACCCAGGCCTCCTAGACTATAAGGCCAGTTCCCCACCCATCACAATGGTCTCTCATGAGCTATTTAGTAGTTCACAGACGTTCTAAAATTTGATCCGCAAAAAACCCCAATCAGACAGACAGAAACGTATTATCCCCACTTTACAGATGATGAAGCTAAGGTCTGGAAGAAGCTCAATGATCCCACCAGGACCACACATCTAGAACGCAAAAGCAGTTTGCATCTTCCTTGCTAACTTTCAGAATCAGCCATGCATGACTCTAGCTGAAGCTATTCCTATATTCATCAGGAACAGGCCAGCTGAGGCCTGAGAATGAGTCCCCAGCAGCCTGACTGCTCTTGGCCTTTTCTGGGTTCAAAACACTTTCTGGGGCCTGCTTTTCAGTTCTGCCCTATGGCCACAAGATGGCGAAGGAACTCAACCTTTGGCCCTACTCGGCAAAGGATGTTTTTATTTGTTTTTGGCTGAAAAACTGATGTACCTAGAAATACCAGCTACCTTCCCTGTAATGTTCAGCAGCTTCTTCCTACAGGCCCCCCAAGACTAACCTGGTCTACTTGCTGTCCCAAAGTTGTGTTACGGTTTCCTGAATCTTTAGGAACAAGGTGGACTATGTCAAGGCTACCCCCAAAAGTGACTACAAAAAGCCAAATAGACTGAGCCCAGGAAAAACCATCTAGATTTTCTATACCTCTGCATTTAAGACAGACACTACTCAAGCCCAAAGCAACCCCCTACCCTCCCTATGACCAACAGAGATAGGCTGTGAACTGTTGGGTCAGCAAGAGGAGGTATAAGTTCATTGAGAGGTCCAACTTAGACCATAGAGCATCCTAGAGCTCTCTGCTTTCCCTAAGTTAGCCACTGTGGCCATAATCAAGAGTTGGTCACTTCCTTAACCTTTTGAAAGGTCTAGAATGCCCTCAATAGGCTTTGACACCACATATCCTCTACCACCTTAGCGGTAGAATCGTAGAATCCCAGACTGTGAGTGCCAGAAGTGACTCTAGAATGCATTTGACCACTTATTTAGCCAGTGGGACCATTTCCCACCTATAATATCTCCTTCAACTTTGATTGTTCTCAGAAAGTGGGGTACCTGCTGATGGCAGTAATTTCAATGACTGAAGAAATGGAATTCTTGTAGCAAGGAGTAGTGGAAACATCACTACACCAAAGGGCCTGGGTTCCCAGCTGGACTCTGGTTATGTCAGACCACAGGATCACAGAAAGGAACCTTAGAGGTTATCTCCAACTGCCTCATTTCACAGATAAGGAACTTTTGCCAAGGTCACCCAGATGGGAAAGCAGCAAAATCAAGATCCGAACCCAGGTCATCTGTCAAATGGGGATACCATTTGACCATCCTAACCTATCTCTTGGGTTTATTTGGGCACTACATGAGATAATCAGTATGAACGTAAATGCTGAGAACCAAAGTATGGTATCAATGCTGCTATTTAGTAAGGTATATATACATACATATATAATAGGTAAATAATCTATAGCACTATGTAGAAGACAATTTCTTAGACATAGTTATCATCTACATCAACATTATCTATAGATGTTTCTAGATCTTTATCTTAGATAGTTCAAGCCCCACCTCTTGGCATATACTGATCATGTGACCCTAGGAAAGTCACCACACCTGTTAATAGGTCCAGGCGACTCACTAAAACCAGAAATTGTACAAGCAGCTAACTGCAGCAGTAAAGGAAGTTTTCTAACCAGGAGTTCCCTCCACCATAGGTGTCGAACAGTATGTAAGCCACAGCTCTCCTAAATGTGGCCTGAAGCGGACTGAAATGTAATTGGGAAATATTGAACAAAATAAAAACAAAACATAGTGTTAGATTTTAAAACTAAGTCAATATGCGGCCTGTGGGGATCCTTATGTACAAATTAGCAGCCCCTGTTTCCACTTGAGTTTATGGGTTCAAATCATTTATTGCCCCAACGTGGAAACCAGAGCCAGTAGGTGTGTCTCTTTTTCCATGATTTTGCTCAGTTGCGGGAGGGGAGTAGTTACCGCCCACAGCCACTCCCAACAATCACGTAATTCTTCTCAACCAGTAGAGTAGAAGGGTGGGGACACCTGGAGAGGGAGTCTAGCAGGACTGCTAGCAAAGAGGACTCCCAAAGGACTCTTGACCTTTTTACACCTCACTCTTCCTCCTAGTCAGCTCCTGAAATAAGAAAAACACTACCCTACAACTTAGTAAAAAGCTGTCCATACTCCTGGAAGGCTCCTATAATCATAGCACTGATTAACTGAGCTTTGAAGGAGAGGCTGCTAACCAGCAAAGGACCTTTGGTCCATAATGGACTTAAAAAGACCAGAATAACAACAGTACCTAATTCAGGTCTTTGACATCTCACAGGAAAGCCTGGATTCTAAACCTGTTTCCAAAAGTCACAAAGTCATTGGCAAAGATGAAGAAGTGGTTATAGCAGAAAGAGAATTGGGGCTTGGGACCTAGCTATGACATCTGAACAAATGAAATGTTATTTCAAAAGCGTTTACTGAGTACCTACTAATGGCTCTGTAACGTAGTTTCTTCATCTATAAAATGAGGGGGCTGAGGCAGATTATCAACTAAGGGTCCCTTCAGCTTTTGATGTTCTATATTCCTGTTCTATGGCCCCTTCCGGCCAGTTTGTCTGACTCACCATCTCTAGTATAGTCCTCGTGCCCCACAGAGGTCTAATGATGTTGGAAAAGAGACATTCTTCCAGAGCAAAGGCAAACTGGTGATTCAGGCACACGAGCCATTTTACCAAAAACAGTTTAATAAAAAAAAGTGAAGATTCCTGAAAAAACCGGGGAAAGCCAAAAGCATACTGTGTGTGTCACCTGCCTCCATCACAAAGAAACACAATCGTCCAAAAAGATATTTAAGTTTAATACAAATTTTATACAAAGAAACGTGAAAAAATACTTCCATATGCTAAAAGCAATTATGCTTCACAAATAAGGCCTGCTAGGCTATTTCTGACAACTGCAATTCACACATGTTCTGCTTTTTTTCTCTCTTTTTTTTCTCCTAATACCTTTGTTTTGCTCTAATGTGGGTACTAGCCAGAGACTGTACATATCAAATCGTTTATAAACAGTGGGAGAACCTAAACACAAAAATGTACAACAAAATGTACTGGAATGATATCATACAATTAATTTTCTCATATACAGACATCAATTACCTGGCTTTTTGTTCAATGCTTTTGTTTTACGTTTTTGTTCAATGCTTTTGTTTTACACAACGTACAAAATGGTAGGGGGACCACAGCATGAGTAGTGTAACAGGCAGCACTGGGCAGGCAGGGGGCGCTCTGTCCTACTGTATTGATACTGTATCATGCTTACAGCAAGACAGAAGGTTCTGTCCATAAATAATACATGCTTTACCCCAGCATCAAGTCCTTGGCCCATGTCTCTTCTTCAAGTCCTCGCTCCATGTGAAAAGTGTTAACAGTCTCTTAGGAGGGTTTGGTGGGTTTTTTTGGTTTTTTTTTTTTAAACAAACCTTAACACAGAAGAGGCTGCTCTGAGTCTACCATCCAGCACCAGCTCCTTCAAACTCTATTCCAAACACCTCCTGCTCTTCATCCACTTGTGCAAGGTTTCTTGCTCGCTCAACGTTTTGTAAACAAGGTCATGGGGTTTTTTTTGTTTTTTTGTTTGTTTTTAAAGAGTCTGGTCTTTGTGTAAATCACACAAAATAAAAGACTTTTCTCCACAGGGGTTCTCAGGTCCAGAGATCTCCCATTTCCAAACAATGAAATAAAATAAGATTTTAACAAAAAGGGGGAGCTACAGCAATTCAGGCCTGCAGGACAGCCACACACCCCTGAGAACTGCTTTCGATCCCACGTGTTATGTACACAAATGTAAATGAAAAAGTGTAGCCTCCCTATGGATCCCCGAACATGGATGATTTCTGGGTGCTAATCGCCCTCAGCCCAGATTCAAAAATGCTACTTTGTGACAAATGGTCTGACCTTCCCTTTTCCAAAATGTTCCTTTTTTTAATTATTATTATTATTATTATTATTATAAGTTAAAAGTCAATACAAATATAAAAAGAAGATGGTTCTCTAAGTTTAATGACATCCACAAATTGTACATTATTTACACAAGAAGCAGTCATTTGCCACGGGTTTTAACTGTCCTTGGACAGCACTAATGCCTTATTAATAATGTAGTGTGGTCGATGCCTTGTCCTGTGTATGCAAAGCATAAAAGTCAGAACCTCTGAAGTGAAATCTCCAAAGATGGCGACTCTCTTCCTCCTCTTCACATTTCTGGTAGCTCTTCCTTCTCCTATTCACGCTGGGAGTTGTTTTGGTCATTCCTCCAACTCCCCCCAGAGGAGCCTGGTGTTGTCACGGGCTAGACTCTCCGCACTTGGACTGGCATCGCAGTCTGGACGTACTGAACGCCGCCACCGCTGCTGTTGCTGCCGCCGCCGCCTCCACCCCCACTTCTCATGGCCACTGTCCCGGCAGTAGGACTTACCACGACGGGAATGGTCTGTGGGTTAAAACCAAGGCATACAGAGGACATTAAAGGTGCATCTCCACACTCCCCATCCATCCACGAGCAGGAGCATTAGCAGTCTGTCTCTCAGACTTCCCTGAGCAATGCTGGGGCCCTTGTGCCCTGTTTTGTTAGGATCTCAGCAGCCTGGCATACATTCAGAATGTTTTGTGTGGGGGAAAACTATTCTATGTTAAGGTGGATTTCTAAGATACCTATGGCCACCATTACCCAGCTAGGAAAGGCATCAAACTACTAGGTTTAAAAAGAAATGATCAAAGTTAAGAGTTGCACTGTTTTCTTGGTAAAGGCAAAGTGTCAGATTATATGACCTTCTCTCCTTACATTGTGCGGGTGTGCTTTTGCACTTAGAAGATCATGGGATCAAAAACCTGGAAGGTACCTCGGAGGTCATTTAGTCCAACCCCTCTTTTTTTTTTTTAATTAAAAGGGAATTAGGGTTAAGTGACTTGCCAGGAGTCACACATCTAAGTAAGTGTTAAGTGTTTGGTCTGAGGCCGGATTTGAACTCCTGACTTCAGAGCTGCCCCTAACTCCTCTTTTTATAGGTTAGGAAACTGAGACCCAGAAAGGGGGCCAAGTGACTTGCCCGAGGTCACACAAGTTGTGACAGAGATGGGATTCAAACCTAGGTCCTTTTATCCCAAATCCAGTGCCCTTTTCCATTCTACTCCCCTACGTAGGACCTTTCCAATACGCATAAAAAGCAGGCACAAGGGGAGGTTGGAAAGTCCATAAAAGTAAGCAGAGCCAAGAAAACAATGTGCACAATGACTACAACAATGGAAACAGAAAACCACCACACACGCACCCACACAAAGTCAATTGAGTGGTGCAGAATCACCAAGAGCAACCACGGCTTGAAAAAAGAGCTAAAGGAAGGCACTGCCACCCTGCCCCTCTGCAGATGGGTCCGTAAGCTCGTACCATCTGGCCCACCCGCACTGCACACATTGTCAGACTTTTCCCAATGTAACGATCAGTTATGCTGATTTTTTTCCTCTTCCTTGTTGTCTTTTAAAAAAATACGATTTGTTACAGAGGAGGGGAGGAAAGGGATACTGAGGGAAATGATGATGATGTAAAAAAGGCATTGATTTTTAAAAATACTGAAGTCCATGAAGAAAAGCAGCCCAAGTAATAAGCCCAGTGAGGAACCTTACATCTGTAGAGTATAGAGAGTGAATAAGGCCTAAGGTGGTTTCTGGGAACCCACGCCCTGATGACAAAGAAGATGACTATTAAGAGACTAAGTCATCACTGGGAGCTCCCACAACATCCCTGGGAGCAGGGAAGAAGGCATGATGAGCTTCCCTTTCTGGCAGTGGTAGAAAGCGTCAGAAAGGCCAAGTCACAGGTAAGCCACAGTGGGGTGTATGACACAGCCATATAACTGGTTATGACAGCTCACCAGCTCCGTGTCACCCCCGACTCCTCCCTCTCACTCACCACACACAGCCAATCCACTGTCCACACAGCAAGTAGTGTGGAGGGGGCAGGGCCTCATCAACTCCTGCCTGGATTATTCCAAGAACCTGCCAGTTGGTGTCCCGGTCTAGCTTCTCCCTCTCCACTCTGTCCTCCACTCATTCACCTGCCAAAATGCTTTTCCTAAAGCACAGGTCTGACCGTGTCAGTCGTGTGCACCGCACACACATGCATGCACACACACGTTCCAGTGTCTCCCTGCTACCTGAAGAATCAAATACATGTACATGCCTTTTCCCTGGCTGTCCCCCAAGCCTGGAACACCTTTCCTCCTTACCTTTGGCCCCTGGGTTTCCTCCAAGACTCAGTGTAAATCCTATCATATAGGAGGAGGCCTTTCCAAGTCCCCTCACCCCCGCTAAAGCTTTCCCTCAGAAAGATTAAATCCCATTCACATTATATCTACCTTGTACGTACATAATTGTTTGCAAGAAGTCTTCCCCATTAGAAAGTGAGCTCCCTGAGGGCAGGGATAGTGAAATTTCTTGCCTTAGTTTTGTATCCTTAGTACTTTGGACCAGTGTATTGACTGACCATCTAGATACACAAGTTCCCAAAGTGGGCGACACAGCCCACCGGGGAGTACTAGAGCAATCCAGGGTGGCTGTAATAGTTTGAAATGACACAAATTTTTTAAAAAACCATTAAAAGATTAAAGAAAGTAGATTTCCAGGGAGGGGCTCTGAGTAATTTTTTTTAAAGGGAACAGTAGGCCAAATAAGTTTGGGAAATTCTGTATTATAGATGTCCAGGGTACCTCAGAAAACCCATGACAGAGTGATTTTTAATCTCTGGCTTCCACAGTTGTTTCTTTCATTCTTAAAGATCAGCTTTAACCCCAGATCACTCAGGCTCTCATTGACTGGCCAACAATAGGTCCCGGGCCAAGCCCTACGGTCATTGTTTGGGCCCCAAATGGCTCAGAATGAATGTAAATAGCAATTGTTTCCGTTTCAGCCAGAAACCCTGAAGGTCTTCCCCTTCCAGAATGATTTTTTTTTTTGGACTAGGTAAAGAGCCCATTCTCTGCCTCATTTCTTATTAAGGTTTAATCACTGAATGGGCTTTGCCTAAGTCAACTGAGACCTGTTAAAGACTTTAGATTGAAGAGACCAAGGTCTCACACTACATCCTGGGCCATCTCCAATTGTCCTGATCTGTATCTGGCCGCCGGACCCAGATGGCTCCAGAGGAGAAAGTGAAGCTGGTGACTTTGTACAGCCCTCCCTCACTTCAATCCAAGTCATTTGCAAGTGATGGCATCCCCTCCCTGATGTCATGGTCCTCTTGGAGAATGAAGGACAAACAATGAAGACCGGCTGCCCTGGCAGGCCATGAGTTTTCAGGATGATCACATCGAAGACAATAAAGCACACAAATAATAGTCTGCATTTACAGGTTCCGACAGCACTTTTCCAGGCACCCTATCACTGAATCCTCACAACACTAGAATGACTCCATTTCACGGGATCTGGGTGGGTTAAAAGCCTTCTACACAATCACACGGCGAGTAGAACCAAACCCTAGACTTCCTGTCTCCGACCCCTGTGCTCTTATGTCCTAAGACCTCCCCTCTGCTCCCCTGGAACTCAGGTATATTTTTACTGGCTAACTGGGTGAGCTTGAGCAAGTTCATTTACCCTCAAAGCCTCATCTGTAAATGGACAGGGTTGGACTAGATGATTCTATGATTTAAAAGCACAAACACCACTTCCACACTTGACCTCCTTACTCCTGGAAGGTGTGGTTCTCTTAATGATGCCAAGAAGACATTCACTTTTCGGACTTACATAACTGTACTACTGACTCAGTCAACTTGAAGTCCAGTTAAAATCTAAGATTTTTTTTCCCCAGACAAATGGCCATCTAACCATGCCTCCCACACCTTGCATTTTTATTTGATCCCAACGTTAAGACTTAAAACAGTTACTGCTATATTACGTTTTATCTTCACTCAATTTGACCCAAGTTCTAACTTGTCAAGAGCTTTCTGAATCCTGACTCAGGCCTCCAGCGTGGTAGCTATTCCTCCCAACTCTATAGTAGCTGCAAATCTGGTATGCATGCCAACTCTGCCTTTAGCAGGTCCTTGAGGAAGCTACGGGAGGTCCCGCTTTCAAAGAGAAAAGGAAGAACCGACTCTGGCAACTTCTATGTCAACCCTGCCAAACTGGATCTGAAATCCTTACGGTGCTGGTCTAGACAGGACCTGGTGCAAGACCGGGAACAGAGAGTCAGGGCAGAGGGGAGAAGTCGGGGACATATAAGTTCAGCACTGTCAAAGGTAGGCATGGTAACCTGTGGAATAACCTACAGCAGCTAAGACCAAAGTGGGCACAAGTGTGTGGAGGGGCTCGGGCCAACTCCAGACTGCTCCTAAGAAGGCAGAAGTAGGGCTACTCTGAGACCCACATATGAAAACTGAGAGGCAGCTCCCGAGAAAAACAGGAGCTCCGCAAAGCAGCTGAACACGTGTCCTTCAAGACAGCCAGTCAGTCCACCATGGCCTGCTTACCCACCATGCCCCAACAGTCAGAAAGAACTGTGAAGTGCAAACATTAGAGGGACTTTACAAGGTACAAGAGGTAGTTTCTTCCCAAAACAATTCTGTGAGGCAGACAGTAGTACAAATGTCACTGTCCACATGTTAAAATTAAGGAAAATGGAGGCCCAGAGGAAAAAGACATTCATATGAACTGGGAGTGGGGGATGGGGGAAGAGAATGGCACAGTGTACATACCCTATCGAAGCTTTTCAGATGCCAGGGTTTCACAGCACCTGTTAAACAACAGGCTCATATTTAAATCTTCAGGCTTGAGAGCTGAGACAAAAGTGCAGTCTACAAAACTTTGTACCAGTTTTATGAACCAGCTGCTATCTGGAGAGACAGCAGAGGCAGTGTTCTCTAGCCATCCCTCTGGCTGTTAACCAGGATACTGTGAGTGGAACAGGCTCTCTGGTTCACTCATGTTCACTTTCCAACCTAACAAATCCACGGGTCACTTAGTTATTTGTTTTTCCAAAGGCCCAACTGTGATCAAGGCCAGCACACACAGCCCAATGTTAAAAGGGCAGAAATCTTACTGGACCATGTAGAGTAGCTCAGAACTTCATGAGCAAAACCCTTCACTGCCAGCTAGAGACTGACCATGATTAGCTTGACCCAATGTCCAGAGATTACAGAGGACTAGAAAGCCATGCATCACATGACCTATGGTAATACTCTCTGCCACACTTAAGTCCAGTTTCCTCATGTAAACTGGATCATAAGCCAGTGAGTCACTACATAGAAGGTACAACTATTCCCACTGATACAAAGGGTCTGAAGCAGATAGGGCTCTCTTTTCTTTCTCTGATATTTAATATATCCCTACCTTTCTTTCCATCTCAGCAAAAAATCCTATACTTTGTGCCACGCCAGAGAGTTTACAGACTGGGAGGGTGGAAGGGTGAGAGAAACAATCTAAAAAAGGCTTCCCTTTGGGACAGCTAGGTGGCGTAGTGAACAGAACCCTGGCCTTGGAGTCAGGAGGGGCTAAGTTCAAATCCAGCCTCAGACACTTAACATTTACCAGCAGTGTGACCCTGGGCAAGCCACTGAACCCCAATTGCCTCACCAAAAAGAAAAAGAAAAAAAAAGACTCCCTCTAGGAAATAATCACATTGACAAGTTTAACAAAAGGCAGCTGTTAACAGAGTGGGGCAAAATAACTCACCTGGAACTTGGTACATTGAATGCAACATTAATTACAGGCAAGAGGCATGAGAGGGAGGGTGAGGGGGCTAAGTCTTTGGTCACAAGCCCCAGGAGCATGTCTCTAAGGAAAGAAATCCTCACACTCAACTAAAAATAATCCAAGGTTCTTACAACCTCCCAATGACCGGCCAGCTGTCCAAATCAAAGGTTTCTTTTTCCCTTTATCTTCTGGACCTGTCTCTGGCCCCAAAACTAGAACAGCCGACTAGTCCCTAGTGAAAGTTCTCTTACTCTGCTTTATGATTCGACACTTTTCCTGGCTCTCCTTCCTCTCCTTCTGTTCCCTTTGCTGATTCCTGTTTCATTCCCAGGGCCTAAAAGTGTGAGTGACGTCCAAATTTGAGTCCTCAGTCAATCCCTCTCCTCTCTCACTGCTCTAACATTCAAAAAAGGCCCCTACCAGTCATTAGTCTTACCTCATTCACTCTGGCTCCCACTACCTCCCCTGTGTGGAAGACTCCCAAATCTCTTCCCAGATCAAGAGTCCTGGCTTCTCTCCTGAATTCCAGCTGCACACTGTCAAATGCCTGCTGGACTTCGTTTGAAATTCAACATGTCGAAAATCCATTACTGTCCCCCTCAAAAAACAGGTCCGTCCCCCCCCAACCCCAGACTTGCCTGTATCTATTAACAGCATCATTGTCCTCTCATTCCAATCTATGTTTGAAACGTCAGTCTTATCTTTAAAAAAAAAAAAAACTCCTGCCTTTCCCTTACCCCTCACAGCCAAGTCCGGTCAATTCTGCCATCTGAAAGGTCCCTGGCATCTTTTCCATTCCCACTACCAGCCATCTACGTCCAGACCTCATCCACTCATGCCTGGCATGTTCTAATAGCGTGTCTTTCTCTAGCTTCTCTGCCATGCCTCTATCCCAATGCATCCGAAATGTCACCAACTAATTAATGTTCTTAAAAAACTGCTTTTTGGAAAAAGGACCTACATGAACAAAAATATTTATAGCAGCTCTTTTTGTGGTGGCAAAGAATTGGAAATTGAGGGAATGCCCATCAACTGGGGAATGGCTGAGCAAGTTGTGGTATATATGTAATGTATATAATGTATATGTGTTTTTATACACATACACACACAATGTAAGGGAATACTACTGTGCTATAAGAAATGATGAGCAGGATGGTTTCAGAAAAACCTAGAAAGACTTACATGAACTGATGCTGAATGAAGTAAGCAGAACCAAGAGAACACTGTACACCGAAACAGCAACACTGTGCTACGATCAACTGTGAGTGACTCAGCTCTTCTCAGCAATACAATGATCCAAGACAATTCCAAAAGATTCGTGACGGAAAATGCTGTCCACGTTCAGAGAAAGAACTAGAGTCTGAATACAGAGTGAAGCATACTATTTTTACTTTTGTTTTTGTGTTTTCCTTTTGTTCCGTTTCTTCTTTCACAACATGACTAATGTGGAAATATGTTTACATGATTGCACATGTATAACCTATATCAGATTGCTTTTATCTTGGGGAGGAGGAATGGAGGGAGAGAAGGAGAAAAAATTTGAAACTCAAATAAAAACAAACCAAAATTGTGCTCCGCTACCTTTCAAACTATTTCAGCAGGCATTCAAGGCCTTCTGCAAGCAGACCTCAACCCACCTTTCTGATCTTCCATTAGTTTTCTGTAGCCAAACTAGTCTAATGTCTTCAAACACACCTTACACATGCCAATTTCCATGTGTTTCAGCACACTGTCACATTTCTCCTCCATCTGAATCCTATACTCAAATTAAATCCTCTGTTCCACAATATCAACAAACATTTACTACTGCATGCAAAGTAGCATAATCAGCACTAAGTGCTGGGAGATACATAAAGATTAAATGAGCTAAATGATCGCCCTTACCGACTTCTCTTGGGGGACATAATACAGATGAAAATTAAACTACAAAATAGAACATGATAAGCCCAGAAGTATAAGACGGGTATTTCACAAGGTCCATCAGAGGACTTGGGGAGATCAAGGAAGCCTTCATGGAGGAGGTGGCATTTGAGCTATATCTTCAAAGATATCAACGGGTGGAAGATATCAATGGGTAGAAAGAAGGAAAGGGTCTTCAAATCAGAAAAGACAAGGGAGCAGCTAGTTGGCACAGTGGATAGAGCACTGGCCCTGGAATCAGGAGGACCTGAGTTCAGTCTGGCCTCAGACACATAACACTCACTAGCTGTGTGCTTCTGGGCAAGTCACTTAACCCCAACTGCCAAGAAAGAAGGAAAGAAGAAAGAAGGAAAGAAATATTGTAAGTGTAAGTCAAAGAAGCTGAGTTAGCTCACAAGAGGAACAAGAAATGATGAGCAGTTCAATTTCTCTGGAATATAGTGTACATGAAGAGGAGTAGCATGAGATAAAAAAGGTAGAACGGTGCCAGGCTGGGAGGGACCAGAAATACAAGAAAGACATTTCGGTTTTATTCAGTAAGCAACAAAGCAACAAAGAGTCATCGCAATGCCAGAAATACAAGAAAGGCATTTCAGCTTTATTCAACAAGCAACAGGGAGTCGGGTTTTTAAACAAAGAAGCGACACGCTTAGATCTGTCCGTAAGGAAGATTAACCTACAGGTATGTCAAAGATGGACTGCAGGGGGAGGGTAAATGCGAGGAATACTAGGGAGGCCACTGCAATAGTCCATGCAGGTGGTCATGAAAGCTCATATGACAGTGAGGGCAGGGAAAAATATAAAGACAGAAGAAACACCCTAAAAGGAGAAGTATCAACAGGACAGGACTTGATGACTAATGGGATGAAGGAGTCAAAGATAACCCCAAGGTTACAAACACGGTGAGCCATGATGCAGTCAAGAGAATAGGGTAGGAGGGGCAGAGAGCATGTCTCAATTTAGTGTATCTTCAATATGAGATGGTGAAAGATTCAGTGGAGTTTACTCAATGGTGGTCTGAGATATGGGGATCTAGGGGGCCAAGAGGAAAGTCTATGGCTACAGTAAGTCTGAGAGTTCTACCTTTCCTGACCTGGGAGGGGTCCATAGTGACCTCTCCCCGGTTTGAGGTCCTCCTGCCCGTGCTGTCTACACAGGTCACTGTACCCTAAGCAAGGACTACTGCAGCATATAAAGAGGAACTACAATGAAGAAGGAAGTAAAGCACAGATGCTTATGAATTGAAAGAAAACAAAAGCCAAGTAGAAATTCATAAAGCATGGCTAGAAAGTAAGGTGAATTTAGACTAATGGTTATCACTGGCACTTGATGGGATGGGACCCTGGCTAAAGTATGGCTCTGGAAGGATATGGCCAAAAGATATTCCAAAAGAAGAGAAGTTTCTGAAAAGAAGGGCAAGGAAAAGAGAGGAGTAGTGAGAAGTAGTATCATATATAAAGAACATACACAGGGGAGGAGATACAACAGTGGAGAGCGTTTGAGTGAAGATCAACAGAGTCTTGCAGAAACAGAAGCAATATTACCATCAGAGTATACCACAGACCTGGGCTTACTCCTTATCTTTTCATGGTCACAGGCCAGCCATTGAAGGCTCCCCCTCCTCATATTCCCCCACAGCAAACATTCAGGAGAGCTTTGTGGATTGAAGGAGATGAGAACAGCTGTTCATGGCTGGGGGCTGTGCTTGGCACTCTAATCATCAGCGGCCAACTCTTGTTTTTTCCCACCCACCAGGGAGGAGCAAGGGAGAAAGGACAGCTGGAAGCTGAGAAGCCAGGCAGAAGACTCAGAGCCCAGAACAGCAGGAAACTGGTCCTAAATGGGAGAAGTTCTTCTCTGATCTCTTTCCAGCTGACCCAAAGCAGGCCAAGTTTAGGAAACATGAAGATCTATCAAAGACTAGCTAAAGTTGGAAGGGGTTTTCCAAGGATCCATCTAATTCAGATTCCTCGTTTGACAAATGGGTTGACAAGAGATACAGAGAGACTGACCTGTGCAAGACTACGCAGGAAGGAAGCCTCAGAAGTGGGATTCTGGGTTGTACAGAACCTCAACTCTCTGATACTGTGTGAAAATTATTAAAATTTTAAAAAACAGAAAGCCTAGGATTACAGATTTAGAGCTAGAAAGGACCTCAGATAAACATAGTCCACCCCTCATTTTACTGATAAAGAAACCGAGGCCTGGGAAGGTTAAGGCATTTGCCCATGGTTATCCAAGGCGAAAGCTGAACCTTTGGAGGAGGATTAAAAAAAAAATTTTTTTTTTAAATTTCCCTAAACCCTGCAGTGGGAGACAGCAAAGCCTAAACTTGTAGGCTGCCTTCCTAGAGTAGGCAGCTGAAGTAGTAGGAAAAACACTGGACTAAGGGGTCAAGAAGACCCTGGATTTAGTCTCTACTCTGCTCCTAAGCAACCAAGTAGCCTTCAACTGCCTCTTCTCTAAAGTGAAAGGAGCTGGACCAGATGACCCCAAAGGTCCCTCCTAGATGTGACACTGCGTAAGTCTAATTTCCAGAAATCCCCCAGGGACGGCAGGAGATGGGACTCAAAAGCACAGGGAGTAAACTCCTGAGCAAAGTACCTGCCTTCCCATGAAAAAAACCCAGCCATGGAGACGTGAAGCAAGCCACCCACAGAGTGACACAAGGCTCAGGAACTCAGACACTAATCTATTAGCAGAAGTCTAAAGAGTCGAAGCTTCCTAAATGGCAAAACCAATGGGACCACATAGCCCTGCCTACCTTAAGAGAAGGACTAAGTCACAAGCTCAAAGGATCAAAAGTACTCACCGTGACATTCTCCCTGCTCTTGTCGGCCGGACTTTCCTTTTCTTTCGAGGCACTAGCTGTGTCCGTCTGAGGTGCCTGCGCACTGGAGCTGGGCTGGGCAGATTTATTTGTTTCTGTACTGACCTCGGGATCTGTTTCTTGCTGGGTTGCCGTAGCTAAAAGTTTAAATCACATCATTAAGCAATAGTCAATAACATGCAACATTTATATATTTGTTGGATTTCATTTCTGAGCTGCAACTTTGGAACTAAAGAACCATTCTGAGGGGTGCTCTACAAACTCAACCTTCTCCCCCGAAAGCCAGTACCCAAAGGGAGCAATTTCAAAAGTGCTACCATTCCAGATTTGCAGAACGTTTGTAGGAGGCCACAAAACAAATTAGTAGATGGGGCCTTTCAGGGAAAAGTTAAAAGGGACAGACCTAATTAGAACATAAAGAAGCCAAACCATCTGCAGAGATAACAAAGGCTATGACTGTTTCTCAGAGGCTAGACTAAAGTGAAAGAAGAATTCCTTCTATTTCTGTACCTCTTGACAGTTCAACCTGCTTTCCCACTCATTATCTCACTGGATCAACCCAACAGCCCTATGATGGTGATAGAGAAAAGGATGGTATTTCCATTTTACAGATGAGGACACTGAGGCTCAGAAGGATTAGTGTGACTTGTACACTGATAAATGGCAACTGGAATTACAACAAGGGGCGTCTTCTGACTCCAATGATCTTTAAACTAGAGGAACAGACATTTAAGTTCTTAATTTATATAGCTAACAGCAATACTGTAAATGATAATCAATTCCCGAAAGACTCAGGAACTCTGAACAACAGAGTGACCAGCCACAATTCCAAAGGACTCATATGGCTGTGCTATCCACCTGCAGACAGAGAGCTGACAGATTCAGAACATGTATTAAAGCAGGTCTTCCTTTTTCTTGATTCTTTTTTTTTTGGGGGGGGGGAGGAAATGTGGCTAATGTGCGAATTTGTTTTGCATGATTATATGTATTTGTAATGGGTTTTGTTTTTCTTGCCTTGTCTGTGGGTGGGGAAGGAGAAGTGGGAAAAAGAGAAAGAATCTGGAACTAAAAATAAAAAAGAAATGTAAGTTCTCTATAAAGGGAGATTTAAGACTAAAAGGGCCTATTTGACACAGGAATGCATCACTTAGGTAAGAGTGTGAAATAGTCTTCCCAGGGCTAGGGGCTAGAAGAGGGCTAGATCAGATCTGTTGTGAAACATATGAGTATTATCCAGGAGGAGGAGGAGGAGGGGGGAAGGGTTCAAAGTTTTAGAATATTAACTTGAACACCAGGATGGTGACTCCATGGTTACTTCTGACACAGAAGGATACCAAGCATGACTTCCTTGTTTCCCAAAGGGAATGTCAGGATCCTCGTGATTCTATGCTGGCCTTTTGACCCCTCAGGGAAGCCCTCGAGCATCGATGACCCTGGCCACCCCAGGAGTCTCTAAACAAGGATCCAGACAGGTGCATTACCTGACTGCGTACACGACTTCATGTGCTCGGGCCAGTGGGCCTGCTGGCATGGGTAATCGCAATAGCTGGTGTTCCAACAGCAATAGAAAATGGCTTCTTTCTTGCAGTTTGCACACCACTGCTTCTTCTTGGTCTCGTCCACAGCCTGCTGCTTCTCCAGCTCCAGCTGCTTCTTGACCTCGGTGATCAGGCGGTCACGCTCCTGCTCCAGGCTCTGCCGCATCTCAGCCATGGTCAGTTCTGTTCGGGACATCGAGAAATCATCTCGTCTTTACTTTTTATCTACACGGACCAGGATTTATTAACACCAGCTCACAATGATGGAGGTCTTTTAAGTTCACAAAGCCTGTGATTTCATTGGTCTAAGGAACTCCCAGATGAGGAAATCCTTCTACCAATGCACACTGGCGTCCTCTCTGCACCTCACAGTTTTCAAAGTTGTCTAGAGCACTTAAGTGAACTGCCCCAGGTCTCTCAGACAATAGGAGGCCAACTCTCCATCCTCTATACCCCAGTGCTTCTCTGAGGAAGAGAAAAACAAGGGAAATGAGCCCTTGGGAAAGATGGTGACCTACGCTTTCCTTTCAGTTAGCCCCTGATGTCTTTCTCTACGTATTAGATGCTGTATTCTAGGACCTAGAAAAATCAGAGTATTAGAGCTAGAAAAGACCTGGGAGAACATTCAAGCTTCATTTTACAGATGAGTAAACTGAGGTCCAGAAAAATAAAATGCCTACCCAAGGCACATGTTGAGTTGATAATAAAACCAGGCCTAGAACCCAGGTTTCCTACCTCTCCAAAGAAAAGGTGGCAAGAGTAACATTAATCACAGTAATTCTTCAGTCAGGGGACCCTAAGAGATCTTCACCTTCTGTATCAAGAGGCCTATTCAATATGCAATACAGAATGCCAGGTAGAAGAACCAATGGGAAATGCAGCATTATTTAACTTTAGTCTAAGAATTCACAAAATACAGGCACCTTATCAACAGGGCAGAGATAGATTCAAAGGCATTCAGAACTTGACTGGTTAAAAATTCCAGCTTCTAAAAATAGAGGAAATGCAAGAGAACTCCGCTAAAACCTACACTCTCTCTGGTTGTGGGGGTTTTTTTTGTTGTTTTTGGGGGGTTTTTGGGTGAACAGGACATCCAGAAACCTAGGCCCTCTATACATAGTTGAAATTACAACCAATCATTGCCTCACTCTTCCAGTCTTCATTTGGGGCCAAGGCATATGGGTGCAGATATAAGCCTGCCCACTTTAACCCTTTCCCCTGCCAAGGCTTAGAAACCATCACAGAAGGAGAGGTACCCAAATTGTGCTTCATCTCTGAGAGTTCCTGCTGATGGAGCCACTGAAGTTTCTCAATCTCAATCCTCAAACGTCGAATCTGAAGCATAAGAGGACATATGTTGGACAGGCCAAAGTTAGGGATTACCATGACCATATAGATAGTTTACAAAGTAGGGGCCCCAGGGCAATCATCATGCCCCCCTCATCCCATAAGCAAATATGACCTATCAAAAAACCCAATCCTGACAGGCAATCCCAGCCTTGAGGGCGTTCTACCTCAATCCAAACCCACTGGCCCCCAACACCGTTAAAAAGTCAACATACACAAATCCAGGCTTATTAAACAGACTCACAGCAGCATCTATATTTGAAACCAGAGCAAGTGACCAACATTCAGCCTTCTGAAAACCGATTGGAGATGAGTTCACTGCATAAAGTGAGGTCCATCAGCACGGCCCAACCTCCCACATGCGAATAAAGGGGAACAAAGCAACGTCCACGTACTTACGAGGCTGATGGAGTCTCCCCACCCCCACTTCCCCTTGGAGCACAAGAGAGGAAACTTGCCCAGCTCCCTTTTATAGGAACTGAGACATATACAGTTTTTCTGTTAACAAGTAAGATATCAACAAATCTCAACAGACCTCGGCTATTGTACTTCCAGTGGTACTCTTAGACAGGTCATTGTATATTTCTGTCATTGTGCCTTTTATGGCATCCATCATCTAAAAGACAAAACCAAAAATAAGCATAAGTCAGGATTAGATATCTCACCAGAACACCTGGATGACATCTGCAGGCCACGAAAGTGTTAACTACCAATTCTGAAGCCTGAGGTGAAAAAAAAGGCATCGTCAAATCAAGTTTTTAGGACACATTCAACTGGGGAGAGGACCCAAAGACTTTGGAACACAAGGCCCTGGAGTGGAGACCCCAGCCAGCTAGCGTTTATGTGGTACTCAAAAATTCACAAAGTCCTTTACATGTTATCTCCTTTGATCTTCACAACAACCCCGTGAGGTAGATGGTATTATTATCCCCATTTTACAGATGAGGAAACTAAGACTGAGTTTACGTAACTTACCCAGGGTTACATCGCCACTAAGTGTCTCAGTTCAGATCTGAACTTGAATTAGGTGTTCTTGACTCTAACCAGTATTTTATCCACTACCCCACCTAGCTCTAACTTGGGGGGCTGAAGAGACAGGAGTTCACCTGGGATGCTGGAGAAAAAGAAGCATGCCATCTGGTAGCTTTCATTTTAACTATTTATTCTTGCTAACTACATACACTAAGCTCAGTTGTTTCCACTTGGAGTAGAAACATCACCAGCACCCTCTGAACTTTAGCACCCTAGGGACAAAGGCCCCATCACTCCATCCTAGTTACGGCTGTGTACGCACAGCTACTAGGTCTCCTAGAAAGGAGTTCAAGCCCTAACTCCCAGACAGTAGTTTGTTTATTTAGAGTACGCCCAGGAAAGAAACAGTGAAAAAAGCAGCAGTAGCATGGTTTCCCCCAAGGGAAGGCTGATTATGGAAGAAGTGAAAGGGCATGTGTGAGTAGTAATGGACTCTCCACCCTGCCCAACCCCCGGAGAGGGGGAAGATGGCCAGAAGAGCAATTACAGTCTCTAACCAAAGTCCCAGGTTCCAGTGTTTAACTTGACTCTGTATTTTCCAATCTGTTGCTTCTGTATGTGAAAGTCAATTTTCCACAGACAAATGAAATAGTTTTTTCTCCAAGTTAATTAACCTCAAATTCACCCCAAAACAAGGGTGAGGAATGGGGAGAACAAAATGTCTGTCTCACTGTCGAGACAACACAGAGATTTCAATTCCCAGCTTACACCACTGTCCCACTAGGGGACCTGCCAGGAAAAACAACCCCTTGTATTTTGTAAGCATTTTACAATCATTCTTTATTAGTCTACACTGAGATTTTACTACTAATGCTGTCAATTTTTTTAAAATTAAAACTAAGACTCTTTATGAGAAAATGTTAAAAAGTATAAGAAATCCGATGTACTCTATGCTAACGATTACATTCCATTTCAAAGAAATCATTGCTTCATCTCCTTAGACACATTAGTATTTCCAAATACTAATAAGGAATTCCATAGTAATGAAGAATTATCCTTTTGCCAAAATATACACATCTCAATCTCCAACTCCCGTCTCCTTGGAGACAAAAAAAAAATTTAATCCAATTTCCCTATAGAATCAACGATCAAGAGTGTAAAGGTACCTTAAAGGTCATTCAGGTCAACTCCTGAATTTTACAGATAAGGAAACTAAGGCCCAGGAAGGTTAAGTGACTTACCCAACATCATATAGGAAGTATACGGGCAGCTAGGTGGCCCAGTGGACTGGGCCTGGAGTTCATAAGTTAATAAGACCCGAGTTCAAATCCAGACCCTAAACAAGTCACTTAACCTGTCTGCCTCAGTTTCAGCATCTATAAATGGAGGGCAATAATAGTACCTACCTCCCAGGGTTGTTGTGAAGACCAAATGAGATATTAATTGTAAAGTACATACTATAGTGCCTGATACATAGTAAGAATTACATAAATGTTAGCTGTTATTATCGTTGTTATTATTATAACATCAGAAGCAGCATTTGAACCCAGGTCCTGTAACTACAAAGCCAATGCCCTTTTCTCAATACCACAACGCCTCCCAAATGGGAGAAAAACTTCTACCAAAAATGGCTTTTCCTCATCTGGCAGCAGGATGGTGAATATCACATCCCCCAGCCCTGGATTCAGGAAGACCATGGTTTCAGTGCCAAGGTCTGCCACTTACTGGCTTTACGATCTCGGGCAAATCACCTTCCCTCTATGGGCCTAAATTGGAGATGAGACTAGCGGAGCCTTTGAAGTTCCTTCCAGCTCCCACATTTCACAAGAACAGCCAACTTTGATATATGAGTATAAAAAACACACACTCATAGCAGAAAGGATAGAGACTGTCCTCAGACACAGGTGACTACAGCTGTTTGGCACCCTAGGGACAAAGGCCCTATTGCTCCACCCTACGTATGCTATGGATACACAGCTGCTAGGCCTCCTCCTGAAAAGGAGCTCAATCCCTAGCTCCCAGAGAGTAATTTATCCTTAGCTACACTAAGAATGAAGTATAATTCCTGCAAACGTGTAACTCACCACGAAAAAATGGATAAACTAGACAGGGCAAGCATTTGCAATATAATGTGATTCAGCTTCCACATATCTGAATGCAAACTCACAGACCCTGGGGGAAAGCCAAAGTGTACAGCTCCTTCAGGTTGCTGGGTATTTGGCAAAAGCAGCAATGAAAACTGGAAAGCAACAGCTCATTGTTAGGTATGGGGAACAGAAACATTCTCCCCCTCCTCCTCTTCCATATTTAAAAAACAAAAATCTGTCATTATCTTCGGTGATAGAAGAAAACTCTTATCATCGCAGAGGTTGTATGATTTCTGCACTTCTGCTCTAGAAACCACTGCCATACCGGCATATGTGTAATATACTAAATAACTCCAACTTTAAAAATCATCTCGCAACAATATCAAGAATGATGAGACCGTGGGCAGAGACTTATGTTCCCCAGATTCTCACTCAAGCTTCATAAAACCTAGAGTTTAAGACTCAAAACCACCTTGCTTTAAAAGCACGGCCCTTGAGGTCCTGCCTAGGTCCTTTACCTTTAGAGCGGAATTTTCAAGAGCTTACCTTGCCAGTGTACTTGGCAATGTCAGCGGCCACATCTGCCGAGGCCGTGGCAATGGGCAAGTCAGTGTTGAGGGAGGATGAGAGTGTGCTTGAGGATCCTGAGCTGGTGACCATAGAGACCGGCTGGGTACTTGTCACGAGAGTGATGGTAGAGGTTGAGGTGCTCTGAGTGATTTCTTTCTGCTGGACAGCTAGGGAAGTAAAAGATCCCATCACCTTGTCGTCTTGGGTAGGCTCATTACAAAATAGAAGCTGCAGATGAAAGCGCTGAGACTCACTTCTGACCTGGAAGCTGCCCCCTACAGAATCAAAGCGAACTTTCTAGGGCAGGATTTCTTAACCTTGATTCTTAACCACCAAATCACTTCTTCTTTAATATTTTGCTATCTATGTTTTGATATAACTGGTTACCTGTGCAATCCTACGCATTTACACATTTAAAAACATGCAGAGAAGGGGTCCTTCGGTGCTTAGCCAGACTGTCAATGGGGTCCAATACAACAAAAATATTAAGAATCCCTGCTCTGGGAGTCAAGACTACCACTCCTTAGATAAATCCACACTCTTGCTAGCACCACAAGAGTTAGAGGAAGATAGCGGGTATGAAGTGGGAGCCAAAAGATCACAAACTGGGGACTTTAAATCATGAATGGGCGTGATTCCATTCTCAGTTCTGTTCCCAGCACCTTTCTCTCCCATGTCCCGTTTAATACAGAAGTGCTGTGACTATGCCTTCACAGCCTAAGCCCTTCTGCCTTAGAAGGGCCTCACAAGGGACCTGGGCAGCTCTACTGCCTTTCTCCTTTTGGGAGTATGTACATGAAATTGACCAACTATAGTCCCAGAGCCCAACTTACAAGGAACCACAGACAATGTACTCCTTCCGTATATGGAATCTGTATTAACTCAGCTCAGCAGTGTGCAAAAACCAAAAAAACTAACCAAAAAAAAACCCAAAACAAAACAAAACCACCCTACATGTCTGGCCTAATGCATGCCAACCAGGAGCTAGATTTCAATGTGTTCGTTTTGTCTCAAATCAACTCTAGGCTGGACCTGTAAAGAGCTGCGGGGCTAGAGATAGGCAAACGGAACTGCCTCTGTTGCTAATTCAGTAGCTTCCACAGATGGCTTCTCCAAACCGGCTAACAATGCATTTCTATTAAAACATACTTTGCTACCAGCTTTTCATATTGCATAATTTCGTCAACAAGGCAAAGGAAATGAAGAATGCTTTCGGCATAGCATGATCTGGAAACAAATGTGTCATGGGAACTAAAAATAGTAAGGATGCTACTCCTGAAAATATATGATGGGATGGAGTTGGGCTCCACTGAGAATGGAGGGAGGGTCAAGATACCTTTCACAGCCTGTCTGGTCTGATATCTTGTCCCTTGGGAGGACTGAGGCGGCTGCTGCTGGCCTTGCTGACTCTGCTGCTGCTGTTGCTGACGCTGGACCTTCTGCATGTGCCATTTCTGAGAAGACGTTTGAAACTTACTTGAAGAATTCCACACGACCCGCTGCACGGCTGGCGCAGTTTCCTTAGGGAGCAGCGGCCTCTGCTTTTTCACGGGGCTCCCGGTGGCCGCTGGGGGAGCGGCGATGGTGGGCGCGGCGATGGTGGTGGCGGCTGTGGCGACGCCTGCCGGGGAGGTTTGAGCCGCTGACCGGGTGAGGACGGGTGTTTCGGGGGGAGGATGGTTGCTGCTGGCACTAGAGGGTGGTGGGGCTTTACCTACAGCTAAAGCCACAGGGGGAAAAAAGGTATTTGACTTGTGCTCAGCTAACAATGCAGAAAAAACCCATATAGATCTGTTTTGAGAATCAAATGAAGTATCGTGTGTACAAACCTTAAAACACTATATAAAAAGTCAGTTATTACCAGGAAGGAAAATTGATGATAATAATAATGACCGACACTGAGATATATGATGTTACATAATGTATAATAAAGGCAATATTCTGTAAAATATTAGAGACCATGTAACACAAGAGTACATATAATAATAGGTTATATTACCTATATTATGTCTTACACATTATGTTTATGTATATTATATTTGTATATGCTTGTGTATCACACATTTTCATGTAATACTATATATTATATGCAATAGGTTATGTTGCACATATTTTGCAATATATAATATATACTGTTATAAATATATACTAAATAATATGTATCAATGATAATTTGCAAAAGCATTTTACATAAATATTATTCCATTAGATAACCACAAACAACTCATTTCAGGAAAGTAATGCAAATATTATTTCCATTTTGCAGATGAAGACACTGAGGCCCAGAGAAGTTAAATGACTTGCTTTCGGCCGCATGGCTAGTACCTGCCTGAGGCAGGACAGGAATCCAAGTCTAGCCTGAATTCTACTCCAGTGTTCTTTCCAGTGAAGAATTCCCTCTCATGATGACAACCAGTTGCAAGGACCAGAGGAACAAATGTTTGCTTCTCTAGAACCCAAACTCAGCAGGCTATGTCTGAGACACTTTTCCAACTTACTCTTTATTCACTGAAATGGGAATAGAATTTTTTGTTGTTGTTTTATTTTGGTTTTGCTTTTTGGTGAGGCAGTTGGGGTTAAGTGACTTGCCCAGGGTCACACAACACAGCTAGTAAGTGTCAAGTGTCTGAGGCTAGATCCGAAACCAGGTCCTCCTGACTCCAAGGCCAGAGCTATATCCACTGGGCCAACTAACTGCTCCTGGGAATAGACTTTTTGATCCAATTTGGGGTTTTCATGACAAAGATACTGCAGTGGTTTGCCATTTCCTTCTCCAGCTCATTTGACAGATGTGGAAATGAAACAAACAGCATTAAATGACTTATCCAGGGTCACACAGATAGTAACTGCCAGAGGCCAAATTTGAATTTAGGTTGTCCTGACTCCAGGATTGGTACTCTATCCACTGTGCTGCCTAGATGCCTTAACCAACATTTACTCATCACCAAGTATATAAGGCAGTATGTGGGATATAAATAAAACTACAGGGGCAGCTGGGTGGTGCAGTGGATAGAGCACTAGCCCTGAAGTCAGGAGGACCTGAGTTCAAATGTGGCCTCAGACCAAACACATGACACTTACTAGCTGTGTGACCCTGGGCAAGTCACTTAACCCCAATAGCCTAAAAAAAAAAGAAAGAAAAGACAGGAAGGAAGGAAGGAAGGAAGGAAGGAAGGAAGGAAGGAAGGAAGGAAGGAAGGAAGGAAGGAAGGAAGGGACGGACGGACATGATCCCTGCTACGAAGGAGAGTAGTACAACGGAAACAGCACCAATTGGAAGGTCAGAGGACTTGAGTGCAAATCCTACTTCTGATGCTTCTTGCCTGTGTCATCTTAGGCAATTCACTTGACTTGGCTTTAGTTTCCTCATCTGGAAGATGGGGGAGGTGGAAGGACTCCCTTCCCTCTGTCGTTACCTTCCATGGGGGTGGGTGGGTGGGTGGGTGTGTGTATCTCTTAAATGTACACAGTTACTTGCATCGTCTCCCCCATCAGAATGAGAGCTCTCATTTGCCTTTCTTTGCATCCCCACCACTTAGCACAGTGCCCAGCACACAGTAGATACTTAATAAATGCTTGCTGGTTGCTTAACTCACTAGATGACCTCTGAGGTCCCTTCTACCTCTCATAATCTAACAGGAAGGATATGGGAGAGATGATCTCTCAGAAGTGAAGCCTCCTCAGGGGATCAATGGTTCTTGTTAATAGTTCTTGACTGTTACTTTCAAAAACCCTCTCCGCTCAGACCCTGTTTCTAAACACTTAGCAGAAAGAATAGCCCTGCCCCCAACCTGAACTGCTTTCCCTTGAAAAACTTCCCCCCTTTTCGTCTCCAGGCAAACTTGTGTCTCTGTTGCTGGGGCCATGAATAGATTGTGCCCCCTGAAGCCCAGCCAATGGGATAAGAGGGAGGGGAGTATAAATAAGCCTTGATTTCTGTAACGAACACTTACTCTCCTGGCTGGCAATGGCTACCAGGGGCATTCTCATGAGACAGCAATAAACTCCTTTCTACTTTCAAGGTATCTAAGTCTCTGTTTTAATTTTGAGTAAGTGGTCTTTGTCCCGCACAGATAGAACAAAAATACAAGGCAGAAGGATGGCAAAGTATGAAAGGAAATGCATCCAAGAGAGCTCAGGAGGGTTTTGGAAAGAGCCCTTTCCAGTGGAGGCTCCAGGGGAGGCAGACTGGGGGAATGAAGACAGCACAGAAGCCTTTAACCAGAGCTCTGTAGGAGGGGGAAGATTCCCGAGGGCAGAGAGGAGGGGAGGTCAGCAGCGAGGGAGCACGGGCCCAGCCTGGTGGGAGAGCAGAGCTAAAGAAGAAACCCTGCATGAAAGGAGGCTGGGAAGGAAATGTCAACAAAGATGGCCACTGGGCTCATTTTTAAGAAAGAATAATGTCACAGTGGAATCATAAGCCCATAGGGTTAAAGCTGCATGAAATCTGAAAGGTCTAATCTCCTTTATTTTGCAGATGAGGAAACCAAGTCCTAGAGGTCAAACAGAGCATAGAGCCTTTTGTTGTTGTTCCGTTGCTCAGTTGTGTCCAACTTCGTAACCCCATTTTTTTTGGGGGGGGCAGGAGGGTGGTGTTCTTGGCAGAGACACTAGAGTGGTTTGCCATTTCCTTCTCCAGCTCATTTTACAGATGACGAAACTGAGGCAAACAGGGTTAAGTGACTTGCCCAAAGTCACACAGCTAATAAATGTTTGAAGCTGAATTTGAACGCGGGTCTTCCTATCTCCAGGCCCAGCCCTCTGTACAGTATGGTGCCACCTAGCTCCAAGGAAAGCAACATCTCCCTCAAAAACACAGATGTCCATAGGCAAAAATGTACATCATTTCATCCTTAGAGTGTTAGAACTAATTCTCTGATTCCCTCTGACTCTACAATATGTGATACATCTGTTGCTGTCCAGAACATGGTGAGATTTTAACTAATTAAATCATGGGGGGAAACAAAAAGAACTGGACCTGTAGGTAGAGGATTTGGATAAGAATCCTAGCTCTTGTATTTACTACCTGTGTATCCTTAGGCAAGTTATTTAACCTCTCCAGGCTTCAGGTTGCTCATCTGTGCAATGGGGGAGCTGGGGTAGATAAGAGGATCCATCTTTAAGATCCCTTCCAGGGGCAGCTAGGTGGCACAGTGGATAGAGCACTGGCCCTGGAATCAGGAGGACCCAAGTTCAAATCTGCCCTCAGACACATAATACTTACTAGCTGTGTGGCCCTGGGTAAGTCACTTAGCCTCATTGCCTAGCCAAAAAAAAGAAAAGAAAAAAGATCCCTTCCAGGTTCAGATGGAGGATAGTATTAATTACTATTATTATTATTATTTATTATTATTTTAATTAAAACTCTTAAATGACACTATTACTCCTGAGAAGATGGGCTTGAGGCCCCTGAAAACAACTGCAGGGGTCTGAAACTGTACTTTTAAAAATAATTTTAATATATAAATTTTGTTAATATAAATATGTAATTTTATACATAAAAATTTTACAGCTGCTCTTTTATTTTTTTTACTACTACTACTACTACTACTACTACTACTACTACTACTACTACTACTACTACTACTACTACTACTACTACTACTGGCAGCTAGGTAGCATGATGGATGGAGCACTGGACTATAATCGGGAAGACTCATCCTCTGGCAGTTCAAATGTGGTCTCAGACACTTGCTAACTGTGTGACCCTGGGCAAGTCACTTAACCCTGTTTATTTCAGTTCCTCATCTGTAAAATGAGCTGGAGAAGGAAATGGCAAACCACTCCAGTATCTCTGCCAAGAAAATTCTAAATGGGGTCACAGAGAGTTGCAGACAGCTTAAAAACGAGTCAACAACCGCAACATTATTATTTAATTAGAACTCTTAAATGATAGTATTACTCTTAAGAAGATAGTTTTGGGGCCCCTGAAAACAACTGGAGGGTTCTGAAATTGTGCTTGTAATTTCTCTCATTTTAAAAAGCCAGTAATTAACCATAATGCTCTAAACAGCTAAATTTCAAAGTTGCATATTCAAGGTACAATATTATCAACTGTCACACCTGTAAATCAATCAGAAAAGAAAAATAGTGAGGCCCTAAATAGCAGTGGGGCTAGAAATAAGCAGTACTCCTGAAAAACTGACAATCAGGGGAGACAAAGACCACCCAGGCCAATTCATGCACTTCCCCAGAAACACTGAAATAAGGTTTCCCAAAAGAACAAAAAGTGTGATTAAATCTTTATGACATTAAATTACTTAATTAAAAAAATGTGCCCATCCTTTTAAAGTTTATATCACCCCCATAAAAACATTAATGTAATTATATCCAGGGAAGATTTCAGTAAGCTAAATGTTTCTTTCTGGGAAGCCAAGGAGGGTGAATGGAAGCAAATTGCCTGTTTTGACTTCTGGGATAAAATGTTCTCCCCCTGTGGTTTGGCTGAAAAACCACGTCTGGATAACCATCACTAGGGAGGCAGGCTTAGCACACTTCCAAACACAGGGGCTGCTCCAAGGTGGCTCACACCTCTCTCTGTCTCTGTCTCTGTCTCTCTCTCTCTCTCTCTCTGTCTCTCTCTCTCTCTCTCTCTCTCTCTCCCCCCCTCCCTTCACCAAGCAGCACAGCCCTATTATCTTCTGCTGCTGAACCTAGAGGCTTCAGAGTGCTGCTCCCTGACCCTCCCCCCATGCACTCTCAGACCGTGGTGTTTTGTAT